CCCTTGCTGTCTCTCCCTCTTTCTTGAGACCGGGTCTTGTTAGGTAGTTTAAGCTGGTCTCGAACTCATAGAAATCCTCCTCCCTCACCTTCCTGAATGCTGGGATTATGGGAGTTCTTTAACTGTTTAATTTTCTTCCTTTCCACAAGAGGTAAAGAATTTTAAGAGAAATATGAATGGCTGAGAAGTGAACTTTGCTTAATTTGCATAGTTCCTCTCTAAGTCAAACTTGGATGGAGCAGCTAGCACTAATTTCTCCTTTTCTGTTACCTGTAGTCAGCCATGGTCTGAAAATATTAAGTAGAAAATCCCAGAAGTAAAACATTACTAAAATTTAAATTGCATGCTGTTCTGAGTATCATGATGAAGTCTCACGGCATCCTGTTCCTTCCCATCTGGGACAAGAATCACCTTATGTCAAATGCGTGCTGTAAATGCTGCTCTTGTTAGTGACTTGCAGCTGTCTCAGTTATTAGATTGACTGTTGTATTATTACAGTGCTTGTGTTCAAGCAGTTCTTATCTTACATAGTAATGGCCCTATTACAAGAGTAGTAAAGGTAACAAGTTGACGTCGAAGAGAATCCGTAAAGTACTTTCTTGAAGAGAAAAGGTGAGGGCTGGGAATTTAGCTCAGTGGTTCAGCGGCCTGCTTGGTAAGTGCAAGGACCAAAGTTTGTTCTGCAGTTCCCAAAAAAAAGCGAGAAAGAGAAAAGGTGAAAGTTCACAACCTAATAAGGAAAAAAAACCAAACAATAAAAAACTGTGTGCTGAAGTAATGAAGATTTATGGTAAAAACAAAACTGTGAAGGAAGAAACTCTTGTTTTGATGTTGGCTCTGACAGCCGAAGTTACTGTCAGTGTGTGAAAAGGGCTTAGGATGGAAAAGATTCAGTTTGTTGGTGGAGAACGTGAGCAGAACAGCTGTTCCAGTTGGTGACACATGTTGTGCTGTAAGCACTGAACCCCTGTGAAGACTTCAGCGGCGACTCCCCTGAGACCAGCGACTGCAGCCCATGTACATAAGTCTTATTGCAGCATATTATTATCGTTCTTCTGTTTAATTATTAGTTTTGTCGTCCGCCCCTGCCCCCCTTTTTTTAAGACCTAGTCTCCCTATGTACTCCAGGCTGGCTTGACTGTGCTGTCTTCCTGCTTCAGTCTCCTGAGTGCTGGGAAGATAGGCTGAGCTGTCGTGCCGTGTCATAGAAGAACATAGCATATACATAAAATGTGGTGCCACCTATAGTTTCAAGTGTCTGCTTAGGGCCTTAGAACATATTCCCTGAAGATGAGGGTCCATTAGAACTGTTATGAATGGTGGAAGTTGCCTGCCAAGTCTCGCTCTTTTTTTCTTTTGGTACCCAAATCCTGTGTTGTCCATTGTAGGATTCACTTTGAGTGTCTGTGGATGTAGATCATGTGTCTCTAATAAGAATTTGATTAGGAGCGCTTAAAATCCAAAAAACACAAAATCTGAAGCCCTTCTGGTCCCAGCCGCTTCCGATAAGGGATACTCAACCTGTAATAGATAACAGAATACAGTACAGTGTCTTTAGCAGAGGAATTTAAAATTATTTACTTACATAATAGTTACCTTGCAAAAATAAAAAATGGAAAACTCCAAAAGATGAACAAATATAGATAAAGGTGAAAGAAGAAAGCAGTGAGAAACAAACTGAGACTTAGAAAAACTATTGGCAGTTTTTGACAACTGCAGCGAAGTGTGTATCTTTTTTTTTTCTTTCCTTTTTTTTTTTTCAGATCGAGCTCAGGACCTTGCGCTTATGAGGCAGGTGTGGTGCCACTAAGCTAAATCACCAGCCCTGAAGTTTGTGTCTTAATTTCAGCAACTAAAGAGAATTTGGGCATGACCTGAGGATAGAACTTAGAAGAAGGCCAGAGGAAGAGGCAGAGAACTGGAAAGTCAGTAAAATCAGGATATGTAGTTTAATTTCTAATCTCAATCTTACATTCCTCCCTTGAGTAGATGATAGGTTAGAAAAACACAGTTATTACATAATCGGAAGACTGTTGCTTTATTAGAAATTGGACAAAATATAGTGCTTGAATAGACGTCATAAAAAAAGAAATATGAGTGGCTAAATAGCACATAAAAAAGTATGC